AGAAACCACAGGCAACGACAGTTTCCGATCGGTCATGGAACAAATTATTTTCGTTTTGTTTAAGGATACAAACTGCCTTATTAGGAATTTAAAACACCGCTGTTCCCCAAGATCAGTGCCGAGGACCGCATCCAGTACATCGTTCGATTTTAGAAAGAAAAGTTTTAGAAGCCAACGCGACGCGACGGCGACCAGCTTTCCATGTAACGACATATCACATGAAGACAATAAAAAATGAAAAATCGTGATGTTTTCGTTTCTGATAGCATAATCCTTGCTAATACTTTTTTGTAGAACAAGGGGATTCGATTTGTGTGGACTAACGACTGAACCTTCGAACTACTGTGCTGGCAGAAGTCCCTTGATCGCAAGGTCGCAAACTGGAAAGACCGCCGACCAAATTCAACATATATAAATGGAATGATTGGTACATCGCGCAACGTAAACATTCCAATTTTCGGTATTCCTTCCAAAATATAATTTTGCTTTTTCACTGAAAGCATTTACGCATTTAATATCTGGGGGATTACATGCTATAGGAAGCTAGTTATGAGGGGATTTAGCCAGGAAGATTTCAAGTCCAAATTAGCACATTTTGAGTGCAAAAGAAAAAAAATATGATTATCTCCGATCGCAGTTCTTCGATCTGCTTCGATGTTTCACAAAAAAGTGTTTACGCTTACTGCATTAGCTGCGAAGCGATGGAAATCAGAAAACTCTAGCGGCTTACCTTGCAACATTGTAACTTGCGATCAGGCGTAACTACCGATTTCGATCGTTACAAAAAGTTTGAAAACTCGCGCGCCAAACCGTCGCGTGCGTAGGCCCGGCACATCGGCTTTGTAATTTATTTCAAAATCGCTCAAGCCTGTATTCTTCGCTATTATAGCAAATACTGTATACAAATAGGAAGGAAAAGCAATTGTTTAGTTGTAAAAAGACTGAATGTTAAAACAAAATGAAAATAATTTGTTCCGTGACAGATAGGAAACCGTTCGTTGCTTGTGGTTTCTGTGGTGTGATGATCTCGTCTGTGATTGGTTACATCACAATAAACATTCCAGACATATTTCAGGTGTTCACGCCAATATGATCACCGCTGTAAAATTGTGAATTCAAACTGACCTTGGACGCGAAAATTCAGCCAGCTATTTCAGGCAGGGAAGACAGTTGCTTTTGACTTTTCTCACCATGGCACGCGTCGGTCACGCTCTACGTCCATTTTTATGCTGATTGGTCACAATTTTACCGGTGACTTCAAGTGGAAAATTTTTGCAGTATCTTGAAACTTGTTTACTTTGACTGCTGAAGCTGACAGAGTTTTGTGTCAACTTGTGATGTTTTTAACTGTCTTTTTCTACTGGATGTACAAAATGAAATTCAGCTGCTATCAAGAGTCTTCTAGCTGGTATTCATGGCTAGTTTGTTTGATGGGTTTTTGGTTGAGAAATACGTCGCTTGTCAAGCCGGAAATCCGACTTCGGATGGCATCGTTTTTGTTTTTCACTTTGCTTGATACATAGGAGGGTTGAAAAGTCTGAAGCGATTCTAGCCTTACTTGATAGCTTCTAGGAGCTGCATCTCGAATGATAAGCCTGAGAAATTATTGTATTTGATGTTTGTTTTTATATGTAATTTAAGGAAGTCGAGCGTAGATTATGCGGCTATTTAGTTTATGCACGTTTGTAAGATTTGAGACAATGATCTGACTGAGTATCAGATTTGATATAAGCTTAAAAATACAGAACTTTAAAAAACTTTTAGATATTTTCTCACCACAAATAGAGAGAAAACGTTCCAAAGAATATTTAGTTATAATTCTGGCTGTAAAAGAAAGCTTTGAGCGATTTTCTTGCCTCGAGTTCATCTTTGAAAAAAGCAAACACCGGGAAGCCGGCTTAAAACATGAACTTAAGCTTTAATTAAGCTTGAAGACTCAGGATTTTTGGAGACACCTTAATACTTGTCTTCGTGAATGACAATTGTTTTCTCTGCACATGTTTCACCGAATTATATTTCTTTTATTGAAAGTCACTAGTCTCTCTTGCAATTTTAATCGCTGTGCCGTTTGTATAGCTGCCGTAAGGCGACTTCTTTTACCGATCAGCGCTAAAAATAGACTCACAACTTTATTCCAATTTGAGTCCTTGAGAGTTACAGCAATAAGTAAGATGGTAGACTGTTGACCCCAAAGACTCGACTGACATTTGGTCCGAAGTACCGTAATTTGTCGTATTTGATGTGTTGTGGTTTAAACTGAAAATAAAACTTCATAAATACTGCGAGCGCAAAATAAATACAGTAAAAATGAAATACAGCAAACAAATGGACAACGCACTTACATTGTTTTGGCGCAAAACTTCTGACCGCAAAAGAGATACTCCTGACGGGAAACTTCTACTTAGTGCTCTTGAAGAAACAACGTTGAAACATACGTTGAACTGAAAATACTAGGAGGCGGTTTAAGTTAAAAGCAACAAATGCAAATAAGAGCTAGGCGCACGTCATCGCGCAGAATGCCTATTGTTCTCGGGACATTTACTTCCAGTTCAACAAAGTTCGTAGATCTGTCATATTACGCGCAATCATGCAGAGACTCTATGAAAGCGCTTCAGCCATTGGTTGCCAAGAATGCACGATGACGCTCATCAATATGTTGTAGGTGGCAAACTAAACAATGAATGCAGCGCGCTATTGTTTTCTCCTTTTAGCTCTTTTGTTTCGCAAAATCGCGAATATGCGCATATTTCACAGTGAACGTTCAAAACATGAGAATACATACACTTTGCTTTATTTTGCGGGAACTTTTTTCAAAAGTTAAACCATAGAAAGAAAGGTGAAATTTTCCATTTATTTAAGCGCTTGCGAGATCTCG